TTCAAACCAAATTTCCTAATTTCCGCCGTTGTGATTAAAAAAAAAAAAAATATTATTGTTTCCAGTCTTCCGAAATTATTTGGATTGAAATGTGGAATATATACGAGATTACAATTTCCGAAAATAATTTCGATAATTCTGATTTGTTTTCCGAATAGTAAACTTAAAATATTAATATTATTAGGTGAACAAAAATTGGAAATTCGAAGTGGGTCCCACGCGTGGCTTTATATGCCACGTAACAAGCCCAAATAAAAAGCTTAGAGCAACTCCAATGGAGGAACTAAATGGGGTATCAAACTAAAAAACTACCACTTTGATGCCCCAAAATTAAAAAATCTTCCTCCAATGGAGGCATTAAACGGAGAACTATTTTGATATTCAACCACCCCGAGGTGCAAAAATACTCCCTGGAAAATGAGGTATCAAAAATGTAACCACTCTATTAACCTATCACAATTTGGCACGTGGCATTTAATAATATAATTATTCATATATTTAAAATTTGATAATCTATTTGATACTTGTGGTTGGAGTGAATTTTTTTTCTAGAGGTATCAAAGTATTATATCAAGTATCAAATGAATGTTTAATGCTCCATTTGATGTCTCTCCATTAGAGTTGCTCTTACATATAAATGGACAGAATTTCATGATTACTCAAACGCAAGCATTAGTCATTAGCCATAAAACACTGAAAAATCAACAACCACCACAAAACCTTTTTCAGACCATCCCCTATCTCTATATGTGTATGTGTCATTCAACACACTAACAAACCAACCATACCTCCATAATATATTAAATAAATATTTTTTGACATATTAATTCAAATATATCATTTATTTTTGTATATATACACACTTGTAAAAGTATTTCAACCTTTGCCTATGTATTATTTTTAGTAATTAAAAAAGGTTTAGGTAAAAATAAAACAAGATAAGCACCCGTTGAACGTAAATTTGTAAAAGTAATCACGTTTTATGTAAAGTTATACGGCTAACATAAAACAATTACACTCATAAACGCAATTCTCGCACTCTAATTTGGACGTGCGTAATGTTTTCCATTATAAAAGTAAAAATTAAAACACTTGTATTATAATTTTTTATTGTTAATAATAAATTAAATATCGTTATCGCGTCCACATCTCATTGGAGCGCTCAAATATGGTAACTATTTTGAAAAAAAGAAAATTATAACAAAATACGTAGAGTAATTTTTCCGTTTACACATAATAACACGTGTAGCGTCTAACCCATCGGAATAATATATTCGAACAAGTGTTCGCTGAAATCGGAAAAGGTAAGTAGTTGGTGAATGTTACCATATAAAAGTATATATGGTAAGTTCTTTTTCTCCCACTGCGATAAAATGGAAAGCAGGCACAAACGAAATCATTATATACGTCTAAAATATTAGTTGTAATTTGTAAAAGTAATCACGTTTTTTGCAAAGTTAATTTTTTTTATATAGATATAAACAAAATAAACCAGCTACCAATATACATAACTCTCGAGTTCTCCGACGACCTTCCGTGAGTGTTTGGTAAATTTTATACATAATTATCTTGTTTAATTATTCACTATTATATTAGCTTCTAATCTTGATGTCAAAATTCAATAGATGTATACATAAATGGTATTCTTGAACATAAATATTAACTTTGTGAGGCCTCATTTATTATTTAATTATATGAAATTAACCATGTATCTATAGCAAAATTATTATTACTAATGTACAATACATAAAATATAAATAAAAAGAAACATGGGACCCACGCGCGCGCGCGCGAGTTGTTTTGAAGGCAGTAACGGCATTTTGGCTTATGATTGTATTTTGGTTTGTTCTTATTTGTGCCCAGCGAATCATGCTTTCTATCCCTAACTTTTGTTACCCCACCCCCCACCCCCCCTTTCTCTCTCTACCTCTCTCTCTCTCTCTCTCTCTCTCTCTAGACTATATATATATATATATATATATAGTCTAGAGATATGCAATCTTCTCATTCTTTTCCTCAGCCAACTTTCTCAGATATAAATTTCTTATCAGATATACATGCATATATAAAACGCACACATATATAGATATATATATATATATCTATACATATATATATAGATATATAGATACACATAATTGAATTTTGTTAGCCATGTTGTTAGCTATGGTGGAAGAGCTTAAGCGAGACAGCTTTTTGTGGGACGACGAATCGTGGGAGTTTCCGATTCCAGCTGGTCAAGAAGAAAATGGCGGCGGCAAGATGTTGATGGATGTCTCCGCCGGCGAATTAGATGGCGGCCAAAGGAGTGCAGCGACTATTAGGAAGGGCGATGTTGTGGAGGCGCCGCCGCGGCCGCCGGTGGCAAGAGGGAAGAAGAAGAGGGCCGCCGCCGGGTCCGTAGCCGGAAACAAGTCCGGCGGCGGTGGTGACGGCGGGAGACAAGGAAATGGTGCGGGCTGCGGCGGCGGCGGTGGTGAAGGAAAGAAAGGTGGCGGTGAAGGTGGTGACGTTGAGCATGAGCTGCATATATGGACTGAAAGAGAGAGGAGGAAAAAGATGAGGGACATGTTTGCAAATCTCCATTCTTTGATTCCCCACCTCCCTCCTAGGGTAAAATTCATCTCACTTATTTATTTATTATATTTTTTTTAAATATACGTATATACAGTTAAACCTCTATGAATTAATTAATACAGTCGAGACTAGTAAAAATTTATTAATTTAGCGAAATATTAAATGATCGAACTAATAATTTAGTATATTTTTTTTTATCAAACACCCAAATAAATTATTATCTAAACGAGATTATTATTTATCGAATATTAATCTATTGAGGTTTTACTGTATATTTTATTGTGATTAAAATAATATTATTTTAATGACACGCAGGCAGACAAATCGACCATAGTTGATGAAGCAGTGGTCTACATAAAACAACTGCAGCAAACTCTGGAGACTCTTGAGAAAAAGAAGGCGGAAAGGGCGCTCAAAGGCAAAACCAGTGCTGCTGCTAATCTCACCGCCTGTGACACATCCACCGTCACCCACGCGGTTCAATCAAGGGAAGGATTCTTAGCCAATCACCAGGGATCCGTGGGTAGTAGTGCTAATCCAGGGGTGACTCTAGCAAACCCCAACTCAGCATTTTCGGGCCCTGAGTTTCCCGCCGTTTCAAAACATGGACTTCTTCGAATGTGGTCCTGAGTCTTTGCGGGAGAAGCGCACACATCAACGTGTGCGGCCCAGAAAAAGCCCGGTTTGTTGGCGGCGATTTTCTTTGTGCTGGACAAGTACAAAATTGAGGTGCTTTCTGCTCAGGTTTCGTCGGATCGGAATAGACGCATGTACACGATTGTAACCAATGTAAGAGCTCTCTCTCTCTCTCTCTCTCTCTCTCTCTCTCTCTCTCTCTCTCTCTCTCTCTCTCTCTCTCTCTCTCTCTCTCTCTCTCTCTCCCCGAAAGTTTTCATTCGCCAAAAAAACCGTATCGAAATTTAGGTTTCTTCAAAAATTTGTACCGTTTACCGAACCAAACTATTTGGTTCGGTACGATTTTTTATGGAATTAATTTTGTTTTTTCGGTTCATTACGGTAATTAAAACTGAAAATATATTTTCTTATTTTAAAAAAAAGTAAAAATAAAATATTTAAACTGATTACAATTTGAATAATCCGCCCTAAAATAAAAAGTGATTATCAATTGAGTCTAATTTGTAAATAATGAAAAAAATTATCAATCTAAGTATTTTACGATTATAACCTTAAACGATTAGACATGCGCTTAAAATGTGAGCTTTTTTTAGTTTTAAAATTTTAATTATGGGGTTTTAAAAAACCTTTGTCATTTGTTAATACTTAATTGATTTTTTTATGAAGGTTGATGAACTAGGGTATTAGCTTTTACTAGAAAATTGTGATTTTTTTTTTGTACTAATTTAAAAAAATGGATGTTGATTATTGATATTTTTTATGCATTTTTCTCATTTGTTACATATTTTTGTATACATATAAATTGTTTGCTTATATGTATATATATGTTTGTGTGTATGTATACATCAGGCAAATGGAGGTTCGGATCAGTTCCCAGAGGGACTATTTATGGTGGAAGAGATATACAGGCTAGCTGCAGCTGAGATAATGCTATGGGTTAATTCTTAATTATTTTTTATTCTCTAAAGAATTATTAAAATTAAAAAAAGATATTTGCCATCCTTTTTTATCAGTGTAAATATGCAAAAACCAATTTTCTTTTACTTGGATTATCTTCCAGTTTTTTTTTTAGTTTATTTATTATTAATCAGTAGCATAATATATGTTCGGAATTTCGGATATAAGTTTCATTTAAGAAATGCTTTATGCACTTTGTTGTTTAGTTCGAGTTCGAGAGTTAGCTCATGAGCATATTGACAATTAGAAGTGACCTTGATTTTTTTATCGAGTCCGATTCATTACGCCAATGAACTGACTTGATTCATTTACACTTCTAAGAAGCAAATTTGAATTAGATGGTCGAATTTTCAATCCCAATCATAATTTATATTTGCATTATAAAAGTAATAAATAATAATATTTGCAGTATAGAAATTCACCATTTTGATCAACTATTAGGCAGAAATAATGAAATACAAATAAAATAACAAAATAATAATATAAAACATAGGAAAAATTAAAAAAAAAATCCCAATCATAATTTATATTTGCATTATAAAAGTAATAAATAATAATATTTGCAGTATAGAAATTCACCATTTTGATCAACTATTAGGCAGAAATAATGAAATACAAATAAAATAACAAAATAATAATATAAAACATAGGAAAAATTAAAAAATAATAACACGCCCGGTGGGACTCGAACCCACAATCGCCTGATTAGAAGTCAGACGCCTTATCCATTAGGCCACGGGCGCTTCTTGTTTATCTATTTCCACTACAAATTATTTATCTACACCAATTCAGAACAACCGTTATTCCCAGATAATAAAACCCAGAACCTAATTTTAAAAAAATGGAAATTAACGAAGATGATGAATTCACTCTCTTCTCTCCGTCCGGCGCCGGCCTCCAAGTTTCCGACAGCCATTTCCGCCACCTTCCACCACTCAACTCTATCAATTTCCGCCGCAATCCCAAACTCCGCAACCCAGGAAAAACCACCACCTCTGAAGCAGCGGTCCACAAAACCCAGAAAAATCATTTCCCCAACTCCCATTCTCGCCCCCGCTTCACCCCCACCATCTTCACCACCTCCGAAGAAGGTGGGTCCCTCTTTTGTTCGCATCTTTCAATTTTGGTGCTCTGAGTAGACATGGTTTTATTTATTTATTTCCTTCTTAATTTTATAGGTTCTGGTTCCAATTGGGCTCGGCACAGAAGAGATGGAGGCGGTGATAATGATTGATGTTTTCCGTCGAGCTGGCGCCGCGGTGACGGTGGCTTCCGTGGAGGAGCACCTGGTGGTTGAGGCCTCTGGCGGCACCAAGCTGGTGGCGGACGCACTCATCTCAGCTTGTTCCGATGAAACTTTCGATCTCGTTGCATTACCGGTTAGTATAATGTAAACTCCGGTTTTAATCACATTTTCCTTTTTTTTTTTTTTTTTTAATTAATCTTTAAATTGCATTTTGTTATCTCTAACTACGATTGTTGACGTTTTGTTGAATTATTTCGTGCTGTTTTCACTTGTAGTGACTAGATTTTACTACGTGCAATTAAGTGTGTAAAACGAATGGAATCATGTTAGCTTTGAAATTCTCTAGAAGAAAATATCTACAGCAGAACATCGGTAAATTAATAATCTCCCTTAAATAATAATTTCTCCCGCTCCCGACTCGGTGAAGACATGCTAAATTATTATCTCGATAATTTAATATTTCGCTAAATTAATAGAATTTTCCTAGTCCCAACTGTATTAATTTATAGAGATTTAACGACATACATACATATATATATATATATATATATATATATATATATATATATATATATATATATATGTAGGGTGACCGAGTGAGTCAAGGTCGAACGAGCTTTAATTGAGCCGAACACGAATCTACCTCGAGTAGCTTGAACTTTATTTTTATACATATTAATCATTTTACCTAACGATCAAAGCTCGAACGAGCTTTATTTACAGCTTACCGAACAAAAATATTTGAATTTCTATATGTAAGTAGGGAGGAATGCCAGGCTCTGCGCGTTTAAGGGACAGCAAAACTCTTCAAGATATAACAAAACGACAGGCAGACGCAAAAAGGTTGTACGCCGCAATTTGTGCTGCTCCAGCAATTACGCTTTTGCCATGGGGTTTACTCAAGAGAAAACAGGTAAAAAATTCCCATCGGTTTTTTGGTAATTTGTGTTATTTCGTTTTTGGATTTTGACTAAAAGGCTCGTAGTTTATTGTGTGTTAAGACAACATGTCACCCCGCTTTTATGGATAAGCTTTCGTCCTTTTGGGCTGTCAAAACGAATTTACAAGTTTGGGGAGAGTTGACTACTAGTAGAGGACCTGGCACTTGTTTCGAATTCTCGATTTCTTTGGTTGAACAGCTCTTCGGTGAGTTGGTGGCTAAAGAAATCTGTGAATCTATGGTAATTAACATTTTTTTTTATCCTTAAAACATTTTGTTTTGAAAATAAATTAACTACGTTGTCGACAATAGTTTAACACCTTTTCATTCACTTCTAATTTTTTTTACAGCTATTAAGTGTTGCTGATGAAAATCCTAGGAGAGAAGAATTTAATGAAGTTTCGTGGTCACTTGATCATGCTCCTCAGGTAATTTAATTTAATTTAATTTAATTTTGTAAGCTGTTTATTTGAACTCGATTATGAGCAGTAAATTTATTTTATGGAATTTCGGACATCGCTAGGAAATCCCATTTGATCTGTTAGTGAATCTCTTAAAAGCTAAGTTTTAAGGTAGTTCTCTTTAAAATCATATCTTAGTTTTTGTTTTCTTTTCTCCTTTTTCCTTTCTCTGAATTCTCAATTTTGTTTTAGTCGATTTCGTCCTCCATTTATTTTTGGGTAAATTACGGCAACCCGATGAGGTAAGGTCAAATTACGAAAAAGGCCCCCTCTTGTTTGGGTAATTACAACCACCCCTCAACTACGAATTTTCTTACACGTTCATCTTTGCGGCGTATAATTTAGTAGAATCTTTTAGATTATGTGGAATATTCTCTAGTTTGTATTCGTTTTACCCCATTCAAACTCCACATTTTGAAATAAGATGATCGTAAGTCGCATGTAAATATCAGATTATGGTATATCAGAAATTGCACTTTTGCACAAAACGAGTACAAATTAGAGAACATTCCAGGGAATGTAGAAGATTCTGTTGAATTTAACACAACTAGAGTGGACGTGTAAGAACACTCATAGTTGAGGGAGTGATCGTAATTATCCAAACATGAAGGGTCTTTTTCGTAATTTGACCTTACCTCAGGGGCTGGCCGTAAGTTGCCCTTTATTTTTTTCTTTAATTATTTTTCTAGTGATATTACCTCCCTCTTCCTCTTTCTTTAATTATTTTGTCGATTTAATTATTGCAGGTTCTCATTCCAGTGGCGAATGGTTGTGAAGAAATTCAAGTGGTGACAATTATAGATATTCTACGAAGAGCGAAAGTAAATGTTGTAGTTGCTTCAGTCGAAAAATCACTGCAAATATTAGCATCTAGAGGGACCAAAATAGTTGCGGACAAGACAATTAGTGTTGCTGCCGAGTCCGTTTATGATTTAATCATCCTTCCCGTAAGAATCCCATTTCCTAATTCTGAAATTAATATTCTTATTTTTGCCACCCTGAACGGAAATCCTAGCTCTGCCACTATCTTTCTGAAATACGTTTGCCAAATTAAGTAGCGATTGATAATTAGTAACGTCGCATGATTATTTTAAATTGAAATATACCTAGATTTTTGTAACGTAGCCTATTAAGCTCATCACAATTTGGCCTCATTTTTCTAATTTCTCATACATTTTTCTAATTTGAAGGGAGGAGAATTAAGTTCCGAGAAGCTGCACAAGTCTAGGATTCTGAAAAAGATGCTAAAAGAACAAAAATCGGGCGGTAGATTCCTCGGTGCAATATGTTCATCGCCTGAAATCCTCCACAGACAAGGATTGCTAAAGGTACTATAATTAATTTCACCTCGATATTTTATCCATCTTTTGAATTAGGATATTAAACTAAAACTAAAAAACAGGACAAGCGAGCGACAGCTCACCCTTCCGTAATAAGCAAGCTCGATGACGTGGCGGTAAGTGGGGCCCGGGTAGTCATCGACGGGAAACTTATCACCGCCAAGGGAGTTGCTAATGCAACGGATTTTGCACTTGCTATTGTGAGTAAGCTTTTTGGGCATGCAAGAGCTAGGAGTGTGGCCGAAGGTCTCGTTTATGACTATCCCAAGCAATAGGACTGGTCTATATATATATATATATATATATATATATATATATATATATATATATATATATATATATATATATATATATTACACGAATTCAAGATTCAGAGAAGCTGACAAGAGTGACAACTGCGAAGAATCCATCCTTAAGATGAGGTTTAGGGTAAGCATTAGTAATTTAGGATTATAGCAATGTTTGTGGGATCTACTATGGTATTTTATATATTTTTTAATTACAAATTGTGGTAATTAGATAATATGTGTATATTTATAGCTTCCATGACTAAGTGTTTAATTTTCGACATGAATCAACGTCATGGTCCGTGTAGTTTGGACCGAGTTTTCTGCGAAGGAAAAAGTATAAGAAGCTCTTATCATGTTGTGTTGTAGATATTTTTAATAACTGTTTTTTTTAGAGATCTGCTGATTGTACTATTCTTCTGGAAGTTTTGTAGATTTTTTTGGAGTGCTCTAGAGAGCTTGTCGATTAAATCGATCTCCGCCGGTAATTAGGAAGGTGAAGTACTATATATAGGAACATGATTTCATTTGTAAACCAAGTTGACTAAATGAAGAACATTTACTAGTTCTACAGTGTTAACTAATTTTCCTTCTAATTCAACAATTCCCTCACCATTAATCTTTGGGTGAACTCAATGTCTTTATATATGTGTAAAGATTTTCTTATGAAGTGGGGTGGATTTATCGCATTGTCGGATCAAAAACTTTAGTATTTCATTGTATTCATGTGTATCGTTCACGAAATTGAAGTATGTAAAAAAACAATTACAAAAATGTTACTAAGATTGTCCGATAACATCATCAACCGTCCACAGTACATCTCCTACATCTCCTTTCCCCACTGTAAATAAGATTGCATGGATTTGTCCTGCCTGCACTTGAAAAATTATTTCAAAGTGTTCATCGCTGTTAGTTATCAGACATTTAACTTAAAGCCGTTTGATTTAAACTCTGAAATTACAATTCTTAATTTAAATAATTATTAAAAAAAAACAAAAATAATAAAAACAAAATTCAAGACAGCGAAAAAATCTAGTCCACAACGCCAACCACAATTTTTTTAATAATTATTGTGCAAGTACGCAAATCTATACATGAATTTACCCATAAAATAAAAATGGATTCCACGAAGAAAATATAAAATTTGGAAAATTCCCGGACATTAGATAGTTTGGACTCGAGAAAAAATAAGGCGGCGCACGGTAGACCGGCCGACACGTCACTTTAACAATTAAAAAAAAAATATTAACATGAGGAACATATAATATTTCACCACTTGCAATTATTATTTGCAAATGGGGGCAGATGAAGTGGGCCCCACCACAACTCAGACCCAGCTCGGCCCCCACTTTAAATAAAGATAAACCCCCCAATATTTCTCTATTTCCCCACTATTCCCGCTTGCCCCCAAATAAAAAAAAAACCAAATTATTTTTATTTTTCTCCCACCGCCTCCACTACGGCGGCGTAATTCACCATGTCGGAATCAGAGCCGCGCCTCCGCCGTGGATCTCACGTGCCTCTGCACAAGCAGCACTCCTGGTCTCCGGACATCCTCCGAGACGAGGCGTGGACCATTCGCCGGAGAAACCACCGCCTCCGGCGCGGCCGCAGCGTCACCGACGACGATCTCGACGAGCTGCGCGCCTGCTTCGAGTTAGGGTTCAGCTTCGACTCGCCGGAATTGGATCCGAAACTCTCATCAACTTTCCCTGCACTTGAGTTCTACCACACCGTCAACCAGCAGCAGTACTGCAGTAATAATGGATTGTCCCGATCTTCGTCGGCGTCGTTTTCCGATTCCGATTCGGCGTCGTTTTCTGCCGGAAGTCCGTTGTCTATTGTAGATCCAGGTATGAACACGATCACGATTCATTTATTTATTTATTTTAATTTTATTTAAATTAAAAAAAGACTTTTTGAAGCTGGTTCTTCTGTCCAGCTGTTTCTAGGCTAGAATTATTCAATTATTGCTGGAAATTAAATTAAATTAAATATTTTCCCTAATTTGAATCAACTGATTTATTTATTTATTTTAATTGAATTTTGAAAAGGTAAGAATCCGGCGATTGTGAAAACAAAATTGAAGCAGTGGGCTCAGGTGGTAGCTTGTTCGGTACGCCAATCTTCACCAAGTTTGTTGTGATTTGTTCTTCACCAGCAGAAATTTGAAAATCCAAAAAAAAAAAAAAAAAAAAAAGAAGAAGAAGAAGAAATCCAATTTTGTATATTTAGAATTTTTTATATTATTATTGTTGTATTTTTTTTTCTGAATTATTTTGTTGCAAATGTATTCGTAGTTGTTTTTTGGGGTTTGTAATTATATTCTTCCCACATTTCTTCGTTTGAAATTCTTTTCATTAATAGATAACCTTTCAATTTACTCTTGTTTATTTATGTGTTCACAAGCCAATATTGGCTAGCAACTAATCGTGTTATTGCTTCTTATATATATAGACACAATTCAATTCTTATAAATTAATAAAGCCGGGAACAACTAAATTCGATTAGTTTAGCGAAATATTAATTTAACGATATATCCTCAAGTTGCGATTAGGAAAACATAGTAAATGAAATTATTAATTTAACGATATATTTTTTTAACACGTTGTCTTTAAGATGGGATTGTGAACACATATTAATTAAACGAGATTATTAATTTATCGACGTTCTACTGTATATAAATTTTTAATATAATAATTGGATATATTAGATGTATCAAAAAATAATAACTAATGACAAAGATAAGTTTACTAAATAATATCCGCATACACATGGATCGTCTTAGATTCAATTTCTATTTTGATTTTAGATTAAAACCCCGATACTATTAAATCTCTATAAACTAATATAGTTGGGATCCGACAAAATTTTATTAATTTAGTAAAATATTATTTAAGCGAAATTATTAATTTATCGATGTTTTTCTGTAATTGGCAAACAACACCTTAAAACAAACAACATTGACTAAATTACTAAATTATATCTATAAGAATCATAGCATGGGGTAATTAGGCCGTCACTATCAACAACTACACATTTTTTTTCTTTCTCAAAAGTTTATAACAAATAAACATATTCACTCAATTCAATGAAATAATTGATTTTTATATCACTTAATTAGATATGTATATCAATTTATCACGAATATCATCAATTCTTTATAACAAGTAACCATTGATACTAATATTAATATATAAACAACTAACAACTACACCATAAAAGCACAAGCAATAACTTTTGTAGTTTTTGCACTCAACTTTAACACTTTTGGCTTTTGAAATTCAAAATATTTTTTGGGACATTTTTATTAATACTATATAGTTAAAAATAACTCCTTTATCATTTAATTTCTATAACATTAAATAACATCAAACCATTTTAATATTTTATACCGTTACAAACATACAAATTGGGATATGCTACATTTCAATTTGTTTTCTTTATTAGCCTGTATTTATTTTATTTGAGCAATAATATCCATGTCTTATTTCTTATTTTAATATTATAAAAACACCCTCTTTCTTGCTTACGTGGATCTGAGCCCACGATCCATATAGAAGAAACTAGAACATTTAGACATTAGTATTTAATAATCTAATAAACTTGAATGGAATGATTAAGATTTGAGAATTTTTTAAGGATAAATTACAACTGCCATCCTTATATAAGGTTTATTTATGAAAAATAACCCCTCATTTTTTTTATAATTACGTCGATTCTTTTTAATTTGTAGATTTCTTACAGTAACACCCTTTGCAGGGGTGGATGTAAGTATTTACAAACTATATGAGACTGGGTGTAATTTTTCAAAAAGAAGGGGTCTTTTTGTGAATAATCTTCGCTCATTGAGGTGATTGTAATTTACCAAAAAATTGAAGTAAAAATCTTTATCAACTCTTACGAGGTAAATTTGAAATGTATATTTATAATGAATCAAAAAAATATTTATTATAAATATACCTTTCTTCAGTAGCTAAATTTAAAACTGTATGTATAAGATAATACATAATTGAGGGGTACGCGTAATTTGCACTATTGATTATTGATTGATAGGATACTCAATATCATATTATCAATTGTCAAACATCTAAAAATAGGGAAAATTAAAGGAAAGAGCCCCTATCCTTAAAAAAAATAATTGAGTTAACTTCAAAAAAATAAAATAATAATAATAATAAATATTTAAATATTGTCATATGGTGGTGTTAGTTAAGATTCAAAGCCTAGGGTTGAAAGTCTAATGAATGAATTCACGGGTTCATATTTAGTTCAATTAACCTACCACACAACTTGTTCATACTATTTTTTTATTTTTTATTTATTATTTTCATCATTATCTAACAATAAATTAAATGAGAACGTTGCAAGTGATATAAATATTGAAATAAAATTAGTTGAATGAAAAAATATTGGGAACTGACTTATCAATGCGGGCAATTAATTGAATTAAAAAATAAAATAAATAAAAAAACCCAGCAATTTTCTCTCCAACGTTCGAGAAAATTAATATATCTGCACTAGTATTTATTAATTTTTTTTCCCATTATTTTCGAGTTAAATGAATTTTAATGACTTGAATATTATTATATGTATTTTAGGTTTTAGGTTGTTGCATATATTGTAGGAAAAGACATTGAAAATCACTAAAATCATTGACATTAACTGTTTTTTAACTAACTAATAAGAGTTATAAAATTGGAATAAGTATAATTAGTTTGTTCCTGGTAATTGATCTAAAAATAAGCTCATTCGTTATGTAGCGGATCTTTTACAAGAGCAGTTCGAATTGTCTTTGGTTCGTCTTGAAAACGTGGTTCAAGGGGCTATATGTGGAGCAATTCAGCATAAATTGATATTTACTTTTTAGAGTTTGGTAACTTTAAATCTGATATGCCTATTTGGACTAATTTAATGAGCTTAAAATTTCTTTACTTATTGGGCCACGAGCCCATTATCGAATATTAATACAATGAAGGCTCAATCATTTTCAGATAAGGTTTGGGTCCGCCAATCTCAATTAACCAATTTCTGCGCAATCAGAGAGGTATAAGTAAAGATTCTAACTCATTTATTAAGGTACGTTCAATATTCGAAGGTATCTTCATAAGCACACGACTGACTTAAGGCGTTGGAGGGGTTTCCGCGGGATCAACCCTCGACTTAGTTTATGTGTTCTCTGGTCGCAGGTATCTCAAGGTCATCAACCTCGTGAGCCGGTGATCCACTTTGATCTTCCAACTCATCCTACCTCAACTATTTAAGTTGATCTAACTCTAACATCATCGAACTCCATTACAATCACCTATGGATCTTTTTTTGGTTTTTTTTTATCTCAACTTTTAGATCGAACAAATCCGTTGACACAATTGAATTATTTAGGTCGTTGTTTGGTGTCAATGTGACTTAGTTTAAATGGAACTGGAGTCTCGTGCGCAAAAGTTAAAAGAGAAGTCAAAAATTCAAAATTATTTCGAATTCGTGTACTCTAAAGTCATATTATAAAACCAATTTTTTTTTGTAAAAAACTTGATAAATATACATGGTCAAATTAGAGGAAAAAAAAAACATCACAACTTCTAAACATGCTATGCAACATATAAATATTTTTTACATAGTAATTCATGATGATTTTAAATCAATCGCATAAATTGTAATCAATTCCTGCCCATTGTTTGTAAGTTGCAAGCATTTTCATAAGCACTTTATTTATTAGGGGTAATATGCTAGGAGTCCCTCGTACGAAATCTAATTTAAACTAAATAACAAGTCTAAATCTAATTTTTTAATTAAATTCTTAGATTGAAATAATATATGACCCACATCCTTAATTTTTTTAATCCCTATCTTGTCATTACATCCTAAATATTATAACCCACATATTCACGTTTCTTCGCAGATCTATTTTTCCTCTTTATTCTTCTTCTATCTCGTTCTTTCTGTCTCGCGCTCTCTCTGTCTCGCTCTCTCGATTTATTTCTCTCAATCTCAAGATATCTCTTGCTACACTCCATCCCATGATTTGAGAGGGGATGGTGGTTGTGATGATGGAATCGACATGGTTTGGAGGCAGTGGCATGGGGGAGGGATGGTGATGGCGGCGGCGGCGGCGGCTCTGGGGCGGCGGCGACAGCGAGCGGCGTTGGTCATGAAGGCAGCGGCGGGGGGCGACGCTCAGGGGCTGGGGGATGGAGTCGGTGGTGCTCGACGTTGTGGGAGGTAATGGCAGCGTGAGTGGGCCGGGGTTTCGTGGGATCTTTAACGGCGTGGTGATGTTGGCGTCACAAATCTAGGGTTTGGTGGAGGAGATCTACGGTTTGGTGGGTCAGATCTAAGTGTTAGAGTAGGTGACCAATAAGCCAACTAAGTGTTGTGTTTCCTCACGCTACTCGTAAATAATCTATTTCAAATTAATGGTAAAATACCTTTTGACATTCTATATCTGTAATCCCACGCAAGCGCATAGATATAGTCCTAACGAGTTACTCTATTACTGTGAATTGGTCTAGTAGAATCGTGAGATAATTCAGCAAAGTAATGTAACTGTTAAACCTAGTTCCTAGTCGATGGGTTACGCCAATAATGAGGATACCGGCCTTTCCCTTTTGAGACTAGCACTTAGTGTATGTGTACTGCGTCTCATCAGCCTTCGGTGTTGTGACATCGACATACTTGAGTGGGTGCTCATATTAGATGAGTTCACTGAACTCCCTCGCCTAGAAATCTATAAGTGGTTCCCAATCATCGAGTAATAGGTTTCTATGATATAGTTGTGCACCATTAGTCCTTAAGACCCAGACATCACCGTGACTTCACTAGAGGACCGACTGTATCGTGACCTGTCCCTGAGTCCCACCGCGGACCGCTCCAAGGGCCAACGTTCGTGCAGTCCGAAATCTAGTGTGAAGTCTGTGCATTGTAGTAGGGGATTCGAGCGCTTGAGTAGTCATGGATGTCCTGTGTGTTCTGTCGGTTTGTAATCCATGGAATCTCCGGCCGGAGTTGATAGTGGGGTGATTAGGGAAATGTGTTTCTCTAAGTCACACACGAACGGATTATAACACCTAGAACGTTCGCACGGTTATTGAACTTAATTAGAGGTCTCGGTGGACCAATGCCTCTAGTTCAATCGGGACATTTGCTGCGAAGGGATCGTACTGTACGTTAACTATATCACAAGGTTCTTGCAAGCACTTCATTTGTATCTAGGGAATCATGATGCGTAGTTGCTAGACGCCAATCTTGATTCGTTGGGCACCGATTTGATCGGGGATTAGGTAAAATGAGTTTTACCCTAATCGGGATTCTTGGGAGGAGTTCGTGTAAGAACAATGTGTAGTTCGAATCACAAAGAGTTGTGAGCCCACGGCTAGCTTACACCTGAACCATTGAGGGTCACACTTCTCGTGTAACATGGATCCTTGAAAAACAACAATCATAGATTAATGTGTTAATCTTTGCGTAGTTGGATGTCAATATGATTGAATCTAAGATTCGTAATTGTGGGTTACGAGTTGGAATAAACAGAGAGAAAGAGATATGCGGAAATTTAGTGAACTATCTAAATTGGGAAGTTTCCCGATTTAGCAGGTCCACTAAATTAGAAGTTTCCAATTTTGGAAATTGAAAATTTCAAAGAGGCACTCGTATCGACGAGGACTTTATGCTCGTCACAAATATAATTTTGTTATAATTTTGTGGACGATCGTTTGTAAGTAACGAGGCCGACGAGGGGGTGGGCTTAATGGATCAGTGGGTCAAGCCCAATGACTTAAGCCCATGAGGGTTATGAACTCTAGTATAAATACAACTCATATGATGAGTTGAGATCAGATTTTACAGCCCAAAACCCTAGCCGCATGAAGCACGACCGTCCTCCGCCTCACGGCTGCAGCCCCGCCGCTGCACCGCCGTCGCGCCGCCGCTCTGCCGCCGCCGGTTTCTTCTATTTTCTTCCTCGTCTTATTCCCGTTGTTTTTCTAACTCTTCTGTATCTAGTGCTGCAGTTAGAGTGGGTCTAGTTGTACGAGGTGAAACCTAATTGGAGGGGAAGAACGCAACTCCACCACCGCCAGCCCCGCACGCGCCGTCGCCGTTGCCACGCGCCGCCGCCGCTGCACCTCATGTGCCGCCGTCGAGATCAGATCGGACCAGCTGCTGTTCGGTCGGTTCTTCGCAGCCTTGGAGTTGTTTAATAGCAGCTTGTACGTGTCTTAGTTTATAGATTTCGATTCGTTGAAATCTCACGCTTCAAGAGGTAAAATCGAAATCCCCTGCGAATTAATTCACAATTGGATTATGTGAATTAATTTGTGAACATGACAATTATATGAAGAATGTATGTTTTCGATTTCATGATGTCGTATGCAAGCATGCTCGTCTTTGTTTTTCGTTTTATTTAATTTCGATTAAAACATGAAAAATTACCATGTGTATGGCGGAAGCGTTAAGGTACGTTCAATTAATTGATTTATGCATGTGATCGAACATTGAGTTCGATTAAACTTTTGTTTTCCGCTGCGTATACATGCATCGATCCCCAACACTAAGATTTTTCGATTTCATGTCTATAGATGTCTATGAGTATCTATGGGTGTCTATGGTGTTGACGGCTAGGGTTCAAAGGAGGAATTAGGGTTTTTAGAATACGTGACTAACGATTACTACAGTTTCCTACGAGTGTCTATACATGACTACGGACTACTACGGTTTCCTACGGTTTTATATAGACGAATACGGCTGAAAAAAAATTAAATCAATTCTCAATATTATGTAGAAAATAAGGAAAAAAAATACGAAAATGCAAAAAAAAAAAAAAATTGTTCTGTGAAAAAAAATAATAACAAAAATGCTAGATGCGAAAATAAAAATGTTAAATGCATAATGAAAAAAATTATAAATGCAGTTTAAATATTACTTGGTGCATATTTCATTTTTTGTATGTGGGGGCATTTTTGGAATGAAATTTATAAAGGATGTGAAGCAAATATTTAGTTAGACTTGTCATTTAGTTCTAATAAGTTTTGTCACTAGGGACCTATATCTTAAAGCCCCTTTATTTAATTATCAAAATATAAGAAAATATATATTTGTAATTTGGGTAAATTACAATCACCCCGAGATATGGTAAATTATGAGAAAGCCCCTCTTATTTGGGTATTTACATCTACTACTCAAGTATGAATCCTGCTTACACCTCCACCCATATGGTGTTAAATTCAACATAATTTTCTAGATTCAGCGGAATGTGCTCTAGTTTGTACTCGTTTTGTCTAAAAATTTAGTTTTTGATGCACCATAATCTGATATATGCAAGCCAAAAAACATATTTTATGATAATCTTTCTTCGAAATGTGAAGCTCGAATGGGATAAAACAGGTACAAAGTAATAATATTCCATATAATCTAGAAGATTCTACTAAATTTGCAACCACAATGGTGACATGTAAAAAGATCTATAATTGATGAGTTGTTGGAATTACCTAAACAGGAGAGAATTTTCATAATTTGACAATACCTGAGACGGTGTAGTTTACCCTTGTAATTATATATTAGTGTACTTTATAATAAAATTTTAATTGAAAAATGAAATGTAGTAGTAGTACACTAGAAATAGTGATGTGCACCAAACGTGGGCCCCACAACAGCACAACCTTATCAAGCATCCTCCAACCTCCTCACGACACGCACCGCAAAACAGAAACTAGGCGCGTGCGAACAACGCGCGACGTGGAACAAAAATATCTGGTTGAGATTGGCCAGAGATATTCACCCCCGTCTGACGTGGCACCAACCGATTTACACTTACACGTGTAAAAAAGCGCACCATGTGGAGCCGCACCATGTGGAGCCTTCCTTAACTGCACTTTTTCTCTCACCGCCTCTCTCTCTCTGCACTTTTTTTCTCTCTCTCTCTCTCTCTCACACGCAGTCACACACACTAGCAAGAAATTTTACCGCAGAGGGTTTCCTTTTGTCTTTTCTGCTTCTCTCTCATCCGAGATTTTTGTTGTTTGATAAATATTATGGAAGGAGATTTCCGGTCGGAGGCGCCGCCGTCGGTGGATGTTGGTTGCTCCGTTGAGTTGAATCGGTCGAAATCCGGCGCGTCAGCTTTGACTGCTGAGAATCGCGAAGATTTGCATCGGCCGGCGAATGTAAAGTCGTTAATCCTGATTTTTATTTCTAGATTGTAGTACTCTTCAATCGATTCGTACTTCACTGATTTTGCGCTTTCCTTTTTTTTTTGTGCGTCCTGATGCAGTACTGTGTTCTGAATGAATGAGATACTGTGCTAAGTGCTCATGTGTGAAGTTTATGTAGGTTAATTTTAATTGAATTTTGGGGATATTTTCTGTGAATTTTCGGTGATTTATTTGAGATTTTTCTGCATCTTTTATGACATAAGATTTAAACAGTTGATTAATCAGTTGATACTCATATTTTTCTTATTCATGATAGAATGAAAGAGATGAGAAAGAGTTCCAAGTAATGAATGTATGTTTGAGGATTCAAGCTTTCAAACATGGTGGCTTTTCTCCCTCTGCAGTTGTTTTATTGATTGTTATGTAGTTACATATCTACCATTACTGATACTAATAACTAATCACGATTGTCGGGATTATAAAAGAAAAAATAGAAGTTCGGATTTGGGTCGTAATGATTATTTCTGGAAGTTTCAGTTATTAGCTGAAGATGCTCGTTGATCGAAGCTTCTGCGAGTGATACAGTAATGATTAGCTCAGTTTTTTTCATCGAAATCGCTATAATAAATTCGGGAAAACAGATCTATCTTTCGGAAATTTTAAGATTTATGTATTGGGCTTTATTACAAGTGTATCCTGTTTTATCCATCGTTTGCGGAAAACATATTACAATAGCTAGAATGTGAAGTTCAAGTTTGCCTTCTCTCTGCAGGGCGACCAAACATGGACGGAGGAGAAGCACTGCTTATATCTCGAAAATTTGGAAGCTTCATTTGTTAAACAGCTACATCAGTCAATGCGGTTGCGATCTCAACGCGCAGATCGGAACAAGAGAGACGGAAATATATCTCAAGTTCGTCCGACCAATGTTCATAATGCATCTGAGAAGGTTGAGAAACCTCGTTTGAAGCCCATAAGTTGATGTTTTATTATTCCATCGAAGTCCCTAAAATTTGCAATTTTACTAGTTGCGTTAACTTTGCGTGTTATTTTTCTTGTGTATGCCAGTTATCTGTTGTGCGCTCTGGATGTGGAGAAAAGATCAACTGTAAAAGGGGTTATCCTCCTTCCCGTGTTTCAGCCGATTCACCTGAAGTTTGCACGCTTCCCAGTACAGGGAATCACGGGAAAGTTGTCGAATCTTGTGTATTAAAAACTTGTTCACAGAAAATTTCTGCCTGTAGTCAGTACGGTGGTGATTTATACAATTCAACGAGAGGTGATTTGACTTATCCTTGTGGTTGACTAGGCTTATTTCTTTGTTATTTATCCTTTAGTATGAAATATCCTAGTCATCGCCTTCTTGCTTTGTCGATTTGTTATGGTACAGATGTGCTTCTCTAAGCAATCTATGTTTCAGAGAAGTCGCAATGTTTCTCGAGTATTATTTCTTTTTTTATTTTTGGCAACTTCGCAAGTATTATTTCTAACTTGTATATTGAAATTATTGAATTCGCTGCAGAGGGTACCGGTCAGAATTTCGTGGATGAAGACAGTCAGAGTAAGTTCGTTACTGAAACTCAAGTGAAAAGGTTGAAGAGAGCTTTAGTAGATTAACCACAATCAAGTAATATCTCGAGTTCAGTTACTAAGATCAAGTTTATATTCTCTTAGGGTAAATTACAAACACCCCCCTGAGGTATGGTCAAATTACAAAAACACCCCTCTTGTTTGGATAATTACAACCACCTCCTCAACTCCTCAAATTTAGTGGAATCTTCGAGATTATATGGAATATTATCACTTTTGTACCCGTTTTATCTCATTCAAACTCTACATTATAAAACAAGATGATCAGAATATGTGATTTTTAACTTGGATATATCAGTTTGTGGTGCATCGGAAACTGTATTTTTACACAAAATGAGTACAAACTAGAGCACATTTCATGGAATCTAGATGATTATGTTGAATTTGGCACCATAGGGGTGGAGGTGTAAGAAAAAAATCATAGTTGAGGGGGTAGATGTAATTATCCAAACAAGAGGGGGATTTTTGTAATTTGGCCATACCTCGGGGGGGTGTTTGTAATTTACCCTATTCTCTTATAACCGATTATTGAACAATGTGTAGCTTTGCTCTTGTAGGTGATGCAGCACCTCTGTGAATGTGCGACTATAAAAAGAAACCATCGAGATATTCTTTTAGCCTCCCATATTGATATTGTATTAGAGAGACCAAAGCGAATGCTGCTGAGACTTTTCTTTTGGAAGATGACTACAGTGACAAGAAAGATTGTTAGCTTTTGATTTCTCCTCTAAATGTCGACGTATTTGAAGGGGAAAAAATGCTAGGGCAGATCTCGGTTATCTGAAGGGATACGATCGGAGATAGTTTTACGTAGTATGAAATCATGGGCCATATAGGCTTTATGGTAGTACCGGAATTTTTGCATTAACAAGAACTTCATCTGTTAATTTGTTTGATTTCGAGATGGGACGTAGATACATATGCAAAAGAAAGATGCATATGTAGATGCATATTTATGTGTGTATGTTCACATACCAACGTGTATATATATATATATATATATATATATATATATATATATATATATATATATATATATATACATGGTGAAGATGAATCTGCTTGTTTTCTTATGTATAAATGTTTGCTGAGAGATTTTAATATGTTGGGCAAATTATGGGCACCCTCTGAAGTATGCTCAAATTATGAAACCCCCCTCATATTTGGCTAATTACAACCACCCTTCACCCTTCAAACTATGTATTGTCTTATACGTCCCCACCCTTCCGTTGTCAAATTTACTTGTTGAATGAGCATTTCTTTTGTAAGATAATACGTAGTTGATGGGGATGGTTGTAATTATTCAAACAGTATGGGCTTTTCGTATTTTAAGCTTACCTCGGGGGATGGCCGTAATTTGCCCTAATATGTTCGATATAATTCTGCATTATGTTTTGTCTTCAATTATAGTCTCGGTTAGAGTTCTGAAGGTAGCGTTGTAATATTGTAAGATAATCATCTTTTCAAATTTATTGATAATTATTATTATTATTATTATTATTATTATTATTATTATTATTATTATTATTATATATATATATATATATATATATATATATATATATATATATATA